GGAGCAGGTGCAGGGGGTGGGGGGACAGGCCTGTTTGCTGCCTTATCAGGTGCTGTGAGACCAGGCACACGCAGACTGCACATGGGTTTGTAGCTAGTAATGAAGGACACGCGTGGACGTGACTTGAACCTTAGGAGATAATACTGGGGTCCCGTTTGGGCGTGGCGTGTGAGAACGTTCCAGTGTGTTCTGAAGGGTCTTTTATGCGCTACCTTACCTAATGCACGGTATCCTGACAGTTCCTGGTGACAGCCCTCTGGCCTTCCGACATACATCCATGGTTACAAACCAACGTCCTCACCCTAAACCTCTTCTGGTGAAAATGTGAGGTATATATAATGGTTTGTTATAAAAAACAGGCCATATTCATCAAACGTTGTTGTGCTTGTATTACCTCAATGTGTGTCTGGAACTCTTTCCATCCTGCTTTTTCTGGGCAGCCAGGTCTGGCTGGCTGGCACAGGGTCCCAGCTCTTCTGACTTACACACAGACTTAGCACCAGACTTGCCTGGCCTGTGTGTTTAAAGTGGCACCTCCAAGTAGGGGCTCAGGTGGAGAGTCTGTGTGTGTGGTGGGGGGCAAGGGCTGGAACGGCTGGGATAGGAGGACACAGGCTGATATTAGATCTGCAGTGGACGGGGCAGTCCTCAGAAGCAGTTTCAGAAAGGGTTGGACCGCCCACTCGGGAAGTTTTGTGTCAGGAAAGTGGGCCGGCCTTTTCCACAAACCCTAGTGGCACAGTGGTTAAGCAATTGGCTGTTAACAGAGAGGTAGCAGCAACTTGAAAGAAAGACCTGGTGGTGGTCTGCTCTTGTGAAGCCCTCCAGGGTTGGGGTCACTGCGAGTCCAACATCAGCCAGCTCACAGGAGAAAGATGGAACAGGGATGGCACTGGGGCAGCAAGTGTGGGCCAAGCCTAGCCGCCTGTGTGTGTTGTGTCACCACTTCACTGGGATCTGCTCGTGCCCCCGGCTGAGCCCAGCCAGACCCTCAGAGGGAGCTGGCCTGCAGGTACCTGGAGGTTCTCCAGTTCTGCATAAACTGCCCAGCCTGTGCCCCTGGTCACATAGGTGTGGGCCGGGGAGGGAGAGATCAGAAACAGGATTACCCAGCAGCCCCACTCCACCGGCCCCTCCTGGGACTATAGCAGCAGGTTATCTATGTGGGCCAGGAGGGAGGGTAGGTATTGCTAGAGGTACACAAGTGGCATGGAGGCAGGTGTGGAAGGGAGGGAACCCTGGGGTGGAGAGAAGTGGGGGTGGGGGGTGGGATCTTCTGTAAAGGAGCCTGAGCCTTGCGCACTGCACACACATCATGTCCACAGCCCTCAGGTTCATCAGGCACCCTCTTCCCCCCGACAGACACTGCCCGCTGGCTTGTCTTGTGGATGTCGCCATTGCACTCATCTGTGTGCTTTCACTCATCTCAGCTCCTTGGCTCGGGGGTCTCGGCTTTGGGAGCAGACCTGGGTGGGGTGGGGGTGTTCAGACGCCATTCTTCTGGTTCAGCAGCTGAGCACTTCACTGTTGCCTGACCAGGGGCCTTGAAGGTAGTTGCTTTCAGCTTGCGTCTGTCTCATGGCCACTCTGCAGGACAGAACAGCCTGCCCTGCAGGTTCCCAAGGCTGTCTGTCGCCTTTATGTAAGGGACTGCCACATCATCTTCTGGTGCAGCTGTGGGTTCGAACCATTGACCTCCGCTGGCACCTGAATGCCCGGAGACTTCCCACTTGCTATCCAAGCACACTGCTGAGGAGTCTATTCTGACTCTACCCTGGGTTTCCGAGGCTGTAGATCTTGATGGGGGCACACTCCCACATCTTTCTTCTTTGAGCAGCTGGTGGGTTGGAACCATGTATCAACCTTTCGGTTGACAGCTGAGTGTTTGACCCTGATTAACCTCAGCAAACAAACAAACAAACTCACTGCCACCTGGTTGATGACGACTCATAACTGTAGGACAGGGAGACTCGCCCCTGTGGGTCCCCACACGTAATTCTTCTGGTGGGTGTGAACTGCTGGCCTTGCTTTAGCAGCCCTTTGTGTAGCCCAGGGCAAGGACCACTGCACCACCAGGGCCCCTAAACCAGCCAGCCAGTTCCAACTCACTCTGACCGAATAGGGCAGAGTAGAACTGCCCCTTTGGGTAAATCTTGATGGGAGGAGAAAGCCTCATTTTTCTCCCAAGGCACAGCTGGTGGATTTGAACTGCTGACATTGCGATTAGCAGTCCGATGTGCACAACCAGGGCTCCTGGTGCCCCATCATGTGCCTCTGACCCTTTTCCTTTGGAAGTGAATCCAGACCACCAGGCTGGCACAAGCAGACGCTGAGCTCTCTTTCTGGTACCAGTGGGGTCCCAGGCCTGCCCTGGACCTTGCCCCATCATTCCCTGGCTCCCTTACCCTGCTCAGTATCGGGGTGACTACTATTCTCTCTGATAATTTGACTCTGGAAGCCGTTGGGCATCTGCAGGCACCCCCAGCAGAGCTGGGCCTGGGTCTGCTTCAGTCCTTGCTCCCCACAGCCCTGGGTGGCGGCTGCTGCTCGCTTGGGAAGCACCATGCTGAAGTGAGTGTGTGTTTCTGGAGGAAGAGGAGGAGGAGGAGGAGGAGGAGAGCGAAGGCTCCTGATTTGCACGGGCTCTACTGGCGAAGGACTCAGCCTCGGGGAGATCCTTGTCCTCACGGGGTCAGGCTTCATTGTAGGGTTTCAGTTAAGATAGAAGAGAGATGTCAGCAGTAAGGTGCTGTGAGGGAATGCTAAGTGTTTATAGGAAAATGTGCCAAGTGGAAAGCATGCCATTGCCCTGGCTATCACTGCTTGGGAATGCCAGCCTGGATGCCAGTTTACCACGTGATCACCGGACTGGCCGAGGTGGGTGTGTGTCAGCAGGAAGGCCTGGGGTGCTCCACCTCCTCAGCCTTTCTTTATGACCGGCTTGCACTGTGCGGACGCAGAAAGAGCTCCATCATTACTTGTAATAGGCACACACCATAGCGGGAAGCCTGCGTCTCCATCTGCTGTGGCAAGTGTGGAAGAGACTGGCTGCTTTTGAATCTGACCCAGCTGCCTGTTGCTGCACCCCCGCAAGTGCTCAGAGTGTTGTGCAGGGACTAGAAGGGCCCTTTCCTCCTGGCAGAGCCGGGGCCGGGCTTCTGGCCTCCTGGAAAAGGTTGGCCTTTGTCCATGGTCTCTGAGCCATCCTGCAGCCTCCCAAAGCTCCTCTTGGGAACTGGAGAGAGTGGGACTAGTGGTGGGTGGACGTGGGAGGCAGCAGGTGGTATACTTTCAATAGCACCCCAGGTAGGAAAGTGAAGCAGATGTGGTGGGGCTTGGAGGCCCAGATCCAGAGCACTAAGAGCCTCTGTCAGACTGCTGATGCTTAGCTCCAGCAGAACAGTCAGGTTGTGTAGATCCAGAGAAGAGTGTCAGATGGAACATCGGACAGGATGACCATTCCGGGTGCTTTCTCTTAAGCCAGAGCCACCTGCTGACACCCCACCCTCCGCCCCGCCAATGTGGCCCTAACCACTCCGTAGAAGGCCGTTTGTTTCGGAGGCTGAGCCTGCACACCCTTTGCTGCTGGATAAATCCAGGATGTAGGGCTCAGCCCCTGGGATGGCCCCCTCCCACTGTCCCTCAGGCCTGGGCTCCCCACAAAGCTCCGCTGTTGAGTTGACACAGCTCCTGACTGCTCTCCATTTGTTTGGTCTTGGACATGCCCCCAGGGCTTGCTTCCCTCTGAGGGAATGTGTGGGGCCTGGGCCTTGGTTTCCTGCTGCATGGGCCCTGACTCCCTAGGGGGGGCCAGACTGCTGGATCCATGCTGGGCCTCAGAAGCCACCTCGCCTGCCTCCATCAGCCCGTGGGCCCAAGAATGTGGGTCAGGCCTGGGCGAGGGACAGTCTGTCCACATTCCCTAGCTGGGCTGGCACCAGAGGAGAAAGCACCTTGGTGGAGCCACCGGGCTGCGCTGGTGGAGCAGTGGAGATGCCCCAATTGGGGGGGGGGGGGGTGTTCAGACTCCCCTTTACCTAGAGCAGTGGTTCTTTGGGGGTCAAATGACCCTTTCACAGGGATCACCTGATTCATAACAGTAGCAAAATTACAGTATAAAGTAGCAACGAAAATAAATATATGGATGGGGGGGCTACCACAACATGAGGAGCTGTATTAAAGGGTCACGGGATTAGAAAGGTTGACAACCACTGACCTAGAGCAAGGTCAGCAGGGGACCCTTGGCCAAATCTGGAGATGATTATGGTTGTCCCATCTGTGGGGTGAGTATTGGCACTCAGTGGTGGGGGCCTGGGGTGCAGCTCAGCACCCTTGGGTGCACAGGAGGGCCCCATCCACAGAATGACCCCAGGGCAACAGAGCCCTGAGGCTGCTGGCTTTGACTCAGGGAGCCCGCTCTTGTCTGCTTTCCTTAAGAGATGGGCCCCACCCAGGGTGATTCTAGTGCCCCTGACATTTGAGAATCACCATGGGGGGCTGCCAACATGTTCCCTGGCCCCCACCATCCGCTTGCATTATCATTCCAAGATCCGTGTGGTTAATTCATCCCAAAGAATGTGCTAGAAATGCCATGGTGCATCCGACGTGGGGGGTCTGGGGGGAGAGGGTGGAGGACAGGGCTTCCCTGGGACGCACGCTGCCATGGTCAGCATCCCTGCGCCTGCCGGCCAGCGCGCAACAGTGGGAAGGGCACAGGCGAGTGGCGCTGCCCGCCGCGCGCCAGCAGGGAAGGGTTAACACAGGGCAGCAGTGAGCCGCTCTGCGCTTCTGAGGAGAACCACCAGTGCCGCCTGTGAGCCAATGCTGGCCGCGCTGCCCCGCCCCCACGCCCCCCAGGAGGCCGAGCTGGGGGCGTAGTGGGAGGGGCCGCGGGGTTCTTGCCTTCATGGACCTCAGCCCGCGGGGACCCCGGTGGCACACAGGGCTCCTGGATCTGCCCTGCAGCCGCTCCAGTGCGGACCTCCGCAGCCCCCAGCGGTCCCCCCTGCGCGCCTGCTCGCCTTTGTTTCCCGGACTACGCCTCTTCCCCCAGGCTCCGCCAGCACCCATGCTGTCGCTGCCCCTGCCCTCGCGCCACCCCGTGCCGTGGGGGCCCCTAGCCGCCTGGGACCGTGGGGCCGGACCCGTCCACCATGGCCTCTGAGGAAGAGCGCGCCGGACTGCCGCTGCGCTGATGGGGAGGCGCGGGGTCGCGCCTCGGGTAAGAGGCTGTGTGGGGGTGGGGGATCTATAGGTCCGGAGGTGGGTGTCCTGTAGATGGCTACCAGTGGGACACCCTGCATGTCTACTTTATTCCTCCTTGCCCCATAATCATTCCCACCGGCCCTGCTGGGTCGCTGTACAAGCTGCAGCGCTGTACTCTGGGCTCTGCCTTGGGGAGCACGGAAGCAGGGGGGCAAATCTTCCCGATTGTACACCCTCTGTGCCACAGCTTCCGGCTTTGCTCAGTAAGGGCCGAGGAGCCAGATTCTGGCAAGCAGCCCCTCCAAGCAGTGCAAATGGAACAGCAGGGCTGACTTGCAGCTGTGGGGGGCCGGGAAGGGGTGGGTGCCCGCGGTGAGACAAGGCGATCTCAGGATTCAGCGGTGCACAGCTGTGTACTCTGACCCTCACCACAGCTGAGGCCTCGAGGGACAGGGGAGCTCGAGCATCTCATCCCATGCGCACCCCAGGAGGCTTGAGGAATTGAGGGTCCAGCCCTCCCTGCGTGCCTCCCAGAGGTTGAGAGAAAATGGCTCTTCCTCAGCCCCAACCTTCCAAAGGCATAGAGGCCCAAGAAGGGAGAGCTTCGTGTGTGTGTGTGTGTGTGTGTGTGGGGGGGGGGGGGGGGGGGGGGGCTTCGAGGAGGTCAGCTTCTTCACAGGGTCAGTGAGCTCTGACTGAATGTAGGTGGTAACTTTTTAAAAAGGCAACTTCAATTTTATGACTTGACTCCTTTTGCTGCCTTAGAATTTGGCCTGCTCTCCCACAGTGTCCTGCGGTGAGGTGAGGCTTGTTAGATGACTCTTCATCCTCTCTTGTCTCATTCCAGAATCTGTTAAAGTAAATGTGCTCATTTCCTTCTTTATGCAAGGACCACCCCCCCAACCCTCCTCCCC